TCGGCGCAGCGCGCGCTGGCTCCGCCGGAGTACGGGAGGGAGGGGGCGCGCTCGCCTCACTGACTCAGCCGCACGGCTGCTCCGCCCTCGCTCCTCCCCTCCCCCCGCTCTGGAACTTTCCCGATAGCCCCGCCCCTTAGTTACACGCCCCTCGAGAAGCCGGCGCGGACGTGCTCCCTAGCGACGAGATCTACATAAGCCCTGCCCCTCCGCCCGCGGCGCTCTACCGGAAGAACCATAGAGGTAGTAGCCGAGCTAGAAGGTCCTGGTGCAGGGGACCACCAGCCCCTCTCACTCTAGGCGGGGTGTAGGAGTGGGCGGGGCAACCGTGTTTCCGTGGAAACGGAGGGGCGGGCGGGCTTGGAGCCGTTGGGCGCGGCGCGCGGGGGGGCAGCGGTGGTGCCGGGCGCGGTAATTACCGTATTTGTGTGATAATGTTAACCCTTGCACGATGTGCAATCCATAAAAGTGAACGTGTCCGAAATGTACACTGATGCTTGAGGCAGCTCCTGGATGCAGCGCGGGTAAAACTCTCAGGGAGTCTTTGCTGACTTTTGGGCTTGCTGTCAACATGGCCTTATGACTGCGTGCCTCCAAATAAAGACTGCCGCTTCAATGACCCGGTTCTCACTCACTGGCATCAACACTGAACAATAGAAAGTAAATAAGACTTGTTTGCATATTTTTCAGTGTACAGTAGTTTTTCAGCAAGTATGATAATTTTGAGGTTCGAATAGGATAACTTCATATTTAAGACCTGGCAACACTGGGGTGCTCAGGCACGTTACTTCACCTGGTTGTGGGCTCAGACGGGCCCTGCGGGACTGCTGGAGCGTGACCCGCGGCTGACCTGGGGTCCAGGGCCTGCTGGGCATGGCCCGCGGCCTTAGCGTGCCAGCGAGGGCTGTGCTGCCGCTGCCCGGCCCGGTCCGGTCCGGTCCAGACCCGCCCAGGGTCCAGGGGAGTTTGGTGCCCCGGCCATTAGACTATATTTACTTGACTACAAGATGGCCCTGCAATACTTAGATGCTGTATATGAAAAGCGTACAGAGTTGTATAGTTTTCTAGGTAAAGAATCTAAGTACTGGAGGGTTTCCTGAATCCCCTCTTCCCCACTGCTACATCAGCCTGAAGCAGTGGCTGGGGGCATCAGGAAGTGGTTGTGAGCAGGGCCTGTCACAGGGGGGCCAGGAGGGCCATTTGACCTGGGCCTCTCATTCACGGAAGGCCTCAAATTTAGACTTTTGACATTATCTTCAAATGAGGTTATACATACAGACACAGATACACTGACAGGATTGAAAGAAGAAGAAAAAAGCTAGAAAAGCACTTGTTAAATAAAAAAGGAACATTTTATTACAAATTACTGCATTGTATTTTGAGCCTCAAAAAATGGAAGTGGTCCGGGCGCCCCTCTCGACCTCTGAGAGGGCCTGATTGTGAGTCTGACTCTGGCCCTGATCCGGGCTCAAGGCCAGAGTTAGACCCACAGCAGGCTCCTGCTCCCCCTCTGCTTTGTATGTGAATATAAGGTTCAAGGCTTTTTTCCCCCCATGCTGATGGGGGGGGACCTCATCTTATATTTGTTTAAATACAGTAAGTGTTTGGGGATTGAGCTTTAGCCGGTCAATGCATTCCCAATCTACCCCAGCAGGAGCTGTTGGGGTACAATGGGAGCATAAGCATAAACTCTTTCAAATGTCTGCACTGTACCGCAAGGGGACGCTTCTGTTAGCCCTGAAAACTCTCAGAAGCCAATGGGATTAAATTGTGCCTGAGGATAGAAAGGAAACAAAGCACTGTCCATATAGGAAGGAAGGCACTTCTCTCTGTCACAACATGTTTATCCCGTGGGAGGGACCTGACCTGTGTTGCACAAACGGCTAGTTTTGTGCCCCTGGAGGCTTGTCCAATCCACCTCTAGGAGAGAGTCTCACACACAGGCTGGGTCCAATTTTAGATTTATTGTTTGCAAACAAGTTCGACAAGGGAGCTTAATGCTCAAATCTGTGTCGACCCCAAACAGAGTCTGGGGTTCTTTTTTATAGCTAACATAAACAAAAGATTCTAACGTGTCGCGTAATTATTGGCAGCCCAAGTATTACGTCTTATAACATATGTCTAGCAGGTATATGTTCTATGATGGTTTATATACATGTCTCATTTATATCTTAAATCTCCTCCCTGGGGCCGTCCTTAAGTCCATTTCGGTCATTTTTTGGTCAAGGTCTGAGTTCTTTACATCAGCACCTTTCCCTGTGCCTCTTCTCTTATCTCTTGTAAGGAGTTATTTATTGCATCTGTTTTTGGCTATGTCTGTAGAAGTCTAGTGTTACTCATAAATCTATCATTGGCCTATATGCCTTAGCAGAAGCAATTGTGTAGTGAAGCCAAACAGTTCTCAGCTGTGAAGCCTTTGTGTAGTGAGATGAGACATTTTTATCACGCAGCTGCTATACAAATGTTATTGCAAAATCATAATGACTAGATTATAACATATTTTTATCACACCTGTTCCATATAACTATCAGTCTTCAGTTTATACTGCCTTAGCCCATGGCCAAGGGAAATTATTTAAATTGTCTGACAACTAACCCTTAAGCACACCTCGTAGGAAAAATATTTTAATCGACTCCAGGGCCAGAGGAGCTTGGACAGTGAAACCGTTTCAGCTGTGAAAAGAAAAACTGCCACCCATCTAAACTAAGCACTTTCTCCATATAGAAGTTAAAAAGGAGTGGGGCCTGGATAGACATTGTTTGTGACAGGTGAACTGAACATCCTTATTTCTTTCTACCCTTTCCTGATCTTGGCCACTGTTTGACTATAGAGGGTTAAAAAAAAAAAGTTGTCCAAAATCTATAGTAGTTCTTGCTAGTTAGTCCTGGAGACTATCTGATAGAGTAAAAAAGGCATTGCAGATCAAAGACCATATAATATTTTCCCCTCTCGAGCAGCTATTGCCTACAAATCAAATGAGAATACAAAACAGCAGTAGCAGTACAGCCATTCCTGAAACTGGCTTTTTTGTTTGCGAGTATAGTTAACAATTCCTGTTATCTCCCTCAGAAATATTTAGGATAGATTTTAAAAGCCACATCTAAGATGCTAATTGGGCAATAAATCCCAGGATCACATTATCATTTCTCTGGACTTTTTATTAGTAAATCATTTTGCTAACACAATTAATTTTATCCTTACTTCCTGAAAGATGAAATAACATTATAAATGTCAGGAAAAGGTCTCTCTCCCCAGCATGCCTAGAGATAAGGACTTTGGTATTTACCTTAATCTCACCATAGTGTATTGCTACCAGCTTCCAAGTAAGAGACTATTTTTTCTCTGGTTCCAAAAGTTAAAATGCCTTCCAAAAGGTCTTATCACAGTATAGCATTTCTTATTCACCGTTTTTAAATATTCCTTTTTAGAATATCTACTGTCTTAATTGAATCAGGGGAGCCATTATATCAAAGAGTTCTTGGCATAATACGAAGCCATTTCTTACAACTGAAGGAACTAAAATTGTATATATTTTTTTATTCTTTAAAAGATCATAAATACCCCTTTTTAGTCTGGATTTTTTAAATTATCTTAATAAACAGCATGTAGATTTACTCTGGATCATCAAGGTACAAAATTGGTTCTTAAAAACCAACAGATTGCTGGATGCTCTGTTATTTTTTAGACTTAGCTAAAGGATTCCACTTAATTCACTTTGAGTTTTCAAAAATCCTGAATAAGACACAATCTCCCCAAATCCCTCCAGAATAAAGCTTCTGGAGAGTAGAAATGTACTTGAAGGGATTGGTGATTGCTGTCTGAGTAAAGACCACCAGTAAGAAATTAGAGAAACAATATTGCAATGGCCATATAATCAAGCACATTTCCCCCACTACAAAAAGAGATTGTAAAATGACCCTCACAATCATTGCATCCTCTGTACTTCAAGACCTCCAACAAGAATCCTTATAAAACTACACCTGATGCATTTCTCATGTTTGTACTTAG